CAGGACAAGTCATGGCTTAGACTGCTTGATGGTGGGAAACTCCCTGCAGTGGGCATGGCTCAGCATGAGGAGAGGAGAGAGTGGCTCTTGGCAGGGGATCCCCATCATGAAGGCCTCACAAAGCCAAGCAAATCCCTACAAAATGAAAGGGGACTTATTTTCTATGATTTCGTTAAGAACAGTCTTGGGGGCAGTTTTGTTTGTTTAATATCAGTCTACATCTGTAGCATTAGGTGTAAATCTGAAGTCTGGCTAAGATAGGATGAAGAGCAGGAAGAAGCCCACCTTGGGCTTGGGTGGGTGAAGACGATGACAGTTCAATGCCTTTCAACGAGCAGGAAGGCTGAGCCCCAGCACTGAGCGAGTGCCTGTTGGGGGAGCACAGCTTGTGTGGGCCGATGGCTTGTCCAGCACTCCCAGGTACTGGTTCATTGCCAATAGATGTGAAAACAGCCATTCAAAGATTATCTGTGGTTTACAGCTTCCTTCAGACCCTTCTTCCCAGACTCTGGGAGAGTGGGGAGATCATTCATACCAAGTAATTACTGTCTCCCTTCAAGGAAACATGAAGGTCTCTTCAAGACTTGGTTCAAAATTATTTTAAATCACTGTGGACTTCCCCAGTCTCCTGGGGAAAACCTCTTCCTTTTGGCTGTCTGATATTTTTTCTCTTCTGAACATATTTAGAGTGGAAGCTGGGAAGAGCAGCTCTTCCCTTACCTGTACAGGTTGTGACTTAAAAATGCCCCCTCTATGCCTATTTTTCACTCCAGAACATGCTTTATTGCACTTTGAATGTTGCCCTGCAGAATAAATATTTGGATTCTCACCTCCTTTGTTCTTTACTAAAAAATGGACACAACGAGCAGGAAGGCTGAGCCCCAGCACTGAGCGAGTGCCTGGAAGAGCTCTGGAAGGATGAAAATCAAACAGTTCCTTCTGCATCTCCAGCATAGGGGATATAGGGGACATTCAGGCCTCTCCTTATAAGCTCTTTAGGCTTCTGTTATGTCTGCCTGAAACAGAAGATGCTTTTGAATGGGGTGAAACGGCTTGGGAGAGGGGGCTGCTTATTTCACTTGAACGACAAGAGTTGTTTATAGCTACAATGAAGCTTCCTCCAGGGAAACTCCTTTATTCCAGAAATCTGAATGAGTTAATCTTTGTTACAGCTGTCTTTCCCTTCAGAAAATGAGGAGCCCATGGCTATGGGATGATTCCTCCTTCTCCTTCCAGTGTCATTCTTGGGCTTTTTGTCCTCTTCATAGTCCTTCTAGTTAGCAAAGGGGGAGGTAGGCTGTCTGGAATCTTACAGCCTCTTACCCTTAGGCTATACTCCCCGCCTTGGGTCTTCAGTAGCAGGAGTTTGCCTGCACTAGAGTTTGTCTTCCTGATGTCTCCCATGCTCATCAACTACACATCATCCCTTTTCCAGTGGAAACGGACTCCTTGCCATCCCGTTCCCCCCCCGCTTTGGCTGATTCCTTGCAGAAATGCCCTATACTTGTGTAGCTGGGGTTATACTAAAAGGACAAAAAGGTAATTTACCAAAAAAACTAGAAGAGGAGCAAGTCATCTTTCTTGCCCCCTTCTCGCAAGAAGGCAAGGCTTCTGCCTCTTTGCAAGCACAGTATGTACAGCATTTCTGAGAGCTGGCAGAATAGAGAGGCTTGAAAGTACAGTAAAATGAGTTTGCCATCAAAAGGCAACAAGTCTTATGCTGTGCCCCCGGCTGCTGACCTTTCCCTCTGGAATTCTCCCCTCTGACCTCTGGATCATTAATCCTGATGCTGCCAGATGACAGTAATCCATCATGGCCCCTGACAAGCCTTGCAGCCGCCTGTGAAAGGATCCGCTCGGCTTCAGCATCCAATCGTCCCATGATACTCGTTTTTCAGCCTTTCCTGTTCGAGCACTGGGGGTTTCCAATAAAGACTTTATCGCCTGGCCTTTCCTCGGAGAGGGGCTGGGGGAGGAGAGGGCTGAGAGCAGCCTTTCCATGCTGCTCAGCTCTTTTGCAGTCAGATCCTATGAAATGTGCAGAGCCCTAGCTCGCTTGGTGAAGAGTACAGTTAATTTACCATGTCCAAACCCCAAATCACTCTTTGCTAGCTCTGGGAGATACTACTTTGAGTGGTACTATGAGAAAGCATGGGCAGAAAATGATTGCATCTCTATGCTTAAGTGGTAGAAGGATGGAAGTAGTTTTGTCCCTGCTGTAAAATTTCTCAGCTTGCATAAAGAAACTTCACGGGGGGGGGGAATAGCTATAGGTTTTATCTTAGTTTATAAAGCTACTAATTAAATTTCAGGGCACTTTGGTCCATGGGTCTGGTTTAAAAGCAAACTTCAGGAAGGAAGGGTGTCAAAGGGGTAGTAAGATAAGGTGGGGAGGTCAGATCTGATTGCTGTTTCTACTCCAGCTATGAGCCAGCTCTCTGGAAATATATTTAAGCCTTTATTTCTTACTGATGTAGATAATGTTTGTCCCTTTCACAGGAGCATTTGGATAAATATTCTTGTGTACCTTTTCAAATGCTGAGATGGAAGAATCTAGAGAAGAGTAAAACTGTGTTTAGGATAAATGCAGTATACTAAAAAGTAGATTTTTTTTCCTTATACTTCTGTATTAGCGGCTTGTTTGCCTGAGGAGCCTTCCCCATGACCCTTCCCTTTCACTCCCCATCTGGTCACTGTCCAAGGAGAGCTGGATGAAAGTCCCTTCTGGACAAGTTAATGCCATTCCCTAAATTGGATTGGGAGAAAGTGAGTGGCTTTGAGGGTTGCTGGAGGAGTGGGGGGGAAAAGGGTCTTGATCCTGCCCCAGTGGAGCAAAGGCTTTGCTGGCAGCGTGGTGCCACTTAGGACGGAAATGCTGAACTGTTAATGAAGGGGCATTTTGGGGTGGGAAAAAAACTTCCTAGAGTCCTCAGAGATAAATATTTCCCTGCTTTTCATTTGGAGTGGGCTGGGTGTGACTCCGGTTACTGTGGCTCAGCTGATGTAACTTAAGGCTGGTAATATGATCACTCCCAGCCCTCTGTGTGTCTGAAATGATGCTGTTAGTGTGCTCTTAATCTTTGCAATAACACACCGAGACAAAATGGTGGCTGAGGAAAAACCGAAGCAGACTGAGGATTGCATTTACACAGGCTGGCCTTTTGAGGAGGGACCATCTCCTGGCTTGGGGCAGCTGCCTGGGATGGATGGAGCCACAGTGCATTTAAATGTTTGGAAGCGTCTCTATCTCTGCTCCCCGAGGGAACTGTCGTCTCTGAAACGCAGGAAGAGGATCTGATGCAGTTCGTGAAATTACTGCTTTGTGGACCTTTCTGTTGTGGGCAGGGAAGGGGTTGTTTAGACAAGGCAAGGAAGAGAGGATATGATAGATATAAAATGACAGAGCATGCAGACCAAGCCTGATCAGGTTGCTCTTTATGTTTTCTTACTGTTTAAGAGTTAGTAACTTGGTGAAATTGAAGGCAGCCCTTTTGAAGCTGAAAAAGTTTACTTTTTCTGTCCAACATATCATTAACCAGTAGGAATTGGTACCATGAGCTAATGCATAATAGGCTTCAAAGAGAAAAAAAAATTACACTTACATGTATAATGAGGACATCTGCAGAGCTGAGCTGAACTCCTTTTCACTAAACAGAATAAAACCCATTTATAAGGGCCATAAACTGCTCTGCTTCAGGGCATTAACCGAATCGCTGGCTGATGAGCAGTGGCAGAGGTCTCCCCTGTGGGTTGGGTATTCCATAATTGTCCATTACAGTGCTTCGCAGGCTTTCCTGTAAAGGCTGGTGCTGACCATTGTGGTAGACAGGATACTGACCTCAGACGGACGGCTCTTTGATCCAGGACAGTATTTCCTATGTGAAATAAAAGGTTTGCTACATCAGCATTTTTCCCCCTCTTCCTCTCCTTGCCTAAATCTCATTAGTTTGACCTTTTCAAACCCTGCATGCTTTATCACTTCAAGGTGCTGCTAAAAGGGCACTATCAGGTGAAAAATTAGATTTTTCTTACCTCTGTTAACCCACAAGATGACAAAACTAGACAGGAAGGATAGAGCTGTTTCCCTGCCTGCCCTGTCCATCCTCGCAAGGATAGAGCAGGACCTTGTTTTGGGCTCCAAAAAGTGCTTGGATGTCTGGTGTTGCTCGCAGCAGCTGTGAGGATGCCTGGCTTTGAGGTGTCTGCGATCAGGCAGGCTGATTCTCTGTTACGCCGCTCGTTTGTTTGCCTCCACCATCAACATGATTTCTCTAGCTTTCTTGCAACAAGTCACTGCTCCAGCAGCTGGGTTGCAGTTGCTACCAGGGTACACGTGCGGCCTCATCGGTATGTCATTTGGGAGAGTGTTCAGGGAAAAGGAGTGGGAGGGTGAAAAGGCTTTGTGAGAGCAGAAGCTGTAGCAAAACATTACGCACGTGCTTGTGAGGGAGGACAGAGGTACATGTACGTGGGAGAGGGAGATGCTCTCGAGTGTCACGCACCCTTTTCTGTCGCTGTTCCCAAGCAATACAGGATAGCAAATCCTGGGGAGCGAGGGAGCTGAATCCCAACGTACGAGTAGCACGAGTTGCCTGGCTGCTCAGCCCCTTCCTGAGCACAAGCAATAGAGATTTTTATCTGAGACTGCCCTGGGAGCTCATAAAAAATGATTCCTCTGTGTTGCTCCCTCACCCCTAGGACTGAATAGTCCCTACTTCCCCTCTTTCTATTTTAGTTTTAGAAGTTGCTCTTAGCTGCAGGTTATTATTTGTCTGATAATTGCTTTTGCCTACAGGAAAGGATTTTTCATGAAAAAGACGTGCCATGTAGCTACACTTCTCTGGCTCATTTACTCACCCATCGAGAGGCCTCAAATCAGGCTACAAATAGAGTTGCCTGAATTTCCTGTTAGAAAGAAGATCGATAGCCCCAACCTGCCAGTTTTCTTGCCCTCATTTTCTCTCTGACTCCATATTTCCTTCCCTGCTGTTTCCCTGCAGGAACTCCCATCAATCGGATCCCCATCATGGCAAAGCAGATCCTGGATCTCTACATGCTCTACAAGCTGGTGACTGAGAAAGGAGGGCTGGTGGAAATCATCAACAAGAAGATCTGGCGAGAGATCACCAAAGGCCTTAATCTGCCCACCTCCATCACCAGTGCCGCATTCACACTTCGAACCCAGTAAGTCCAGAAGGTCGAACAGCATGGATGTGAACACAGAGTGGGGACTGGGGAGTGCAAAGCAGGGACTGGGGTGGAAAAACCAAAAGACTAAATTCTGCTCTGTAGCCAGGGAGGAGCTGATAAATTGCTTTATTTATCCCTCTCACCCAAGGCTTGCAGTTTTCCCCTTCTATTCCTTCCCTCGTTTTTCCTAGTAGTGATTCTTCCTGAACTTATTACCCTTCCATCCCTACAGTCCCACCGATAATATGCCATTGGCTTGTGCTCTGTGCCTCCCTCCACCCTGTGCCTTTCTTGCCTCTTCAGAGCTTAAACTCCTCGGGGCAAGGAGGGTCTTGCTCTGTCTCTGGAGAGCACTTGGCACAGCAAGGAGGGAGGGGAGGCCTCCTGATTTGTAGGCATCAAGTATGAACTTGATCATTTAATGTCTGTTATCACTACCAAGTTGTGGAAACTTGCATTTAGCACCTACTTACCGTGAGGATTGCTTTTTTGACCTGCAATACCTCACATCGATTAGGCAAGCAAAAAAAAAAAAAAGGAAGAAAAAGTAGAATAAGTAGAGGAAAAAGAATGGTAAAAGTAAACCTACTGTAAGATTTAAGCAACAGGGCGAAGCTGTGCTTTACTGACTCGAGTGTGGAAGGCTGGGCTCTGGGAATCCACACCCAGCTCCTATGCAGACTCTGTCTTGGAAGTTATTAGAGCCCCTGAGTCGCAGAGAGGGAAGCTCCTTGCCATTTCTATGTACTTTGGTACAGACAGGCTGTCTCCTGAAAATGTGCATGCCAGAATTCAGCAAAAGCGGTAAGGTTTGGTGCTGCCCAAAGCAAATGACTTGGACAAGGGTAATTCCTCAAACTTCCTTCCCTGCACTAAGTGTTACGGTCCAAGATCTTAATTCGTATAATTTTAGATGGTATCTCAGTTGTAAAGAAATTCTGGATGATTCTTTTCTGCCCTTGTGGGTGTAGTAGTATTTAACTATGTGCTTCCCTATAAACATTGAGTAAACACAAAGTTTCTTTGAGAGCTGGGCCTCACACCCAAACTGCTCAATGCTTATCAAACCAAGTGCAGCAGTGGTCATGATATGCAGACAGAGACTCCAGATCTGTAGAGGACCTCAGTCCGAAAGCCTTCCTGAATGCAATGCTTGTTGCTGTAGCCTATAATTTCATGTTCTATTGAGAAAACCTACCTGAGTTTCCCTGTGCTCATCTCTCTCCCAGGTATATGAAGTACCTATATGCCTATGAATGCGAGAAGAAATCCCTCAGTTCTCCTGCTGAGCTTCAGGCTGCAATCGATGGCAATAGGCGGGAAGGCAGGCGGCCCAGCTACAGCTCCTCTTTGTTCAGCTACTCACCCACCACCACAGGGCCTCCATCCCTCCTGTCTCCCCCAAAGATCCGCTTCCCCATCATTGGCGTTGCGCCAGGCAGTGGGACCAGCAATCCTCGGGTGTCTCCAGCAGCAGCGGTCAGAAAAGGTCAGCTACTTCTTACTCGCATCAAAGAGGGTGGCTGGGTTAAGAGGTGCAGGCACTGAAACACAGTTATTTTCCTTTTCATCCGCCCAGACTACTTTGGACTTGAGAGTAGTGGGACTTGGGTGGCTTGGGGTTTGCAGAATACTCTGCCTGTGGTTTAAACCTTTGTGTGCTTGTTTAGGAAGGGCTGTGGGAGGGACTAGGTGACTCTCTCCTTTTCTAGGTGACGGTGTGCCCTTGACTGTGTCTATGCCAAATCGTATTGCTGTGCCAGTGACCTTGGCTAGCCAGCAGGCAACTGTGGCAGCAAGAACAGCCACCCTAGAGCAGCTGAGGGAGAGACTGGAGTCGGGAGAGCCTCCGGAGAAGAAGGTCTCACGGATGACGGAGGAGGAGCAGCGGCTTTTTTTGCTGGGGGTTCTCCGCCACCCCGTCACCACGGAGGCTCTTCAGCGCAACCTGTTCAGCATGGCACGGCAGATCCCCATGAAGATCAAAATCAATGGCAAGGGTAAGCAGCGCCTCCAGACGCACGAAAGATCTTTGCAGACTGCAGCAGGGAGGAAACTGCTCCCAATCTAGGATGTCAAACACCTCTTTACGCACAGGCTTGATGATCTCTCTGGGTACCAGGCAGAGGTCACTGTCAAGAAGCTGTTAAAATGGAGCGCAATAACCGCAAAGCTAAACTAGCAATATTTTGTTAGGTTTTACTTACTGCGGCTGTTTTTATTCCATTCTTGTTGATTAGTAATCCAGCATCATCTGAATCCATCCTTGATTCAGAAGCACCCTACCTGTCTTCAGAAAGCTCTGCATCTAAGCTGATAAAACCCACTTGACCCATACAACAAGACCCTTACTCTGAGCTTACAACCTCCTGTGTTGATCACAGTGTGATTGCTTCAGGACTCAAGCTGTTATGTCTCCACAGAACTTGCACTGTGGGGAATTGCCAGTTTCAGCTGATGCTAGCTCAGTTGTCCTTGCAGCAGTGCTCTGTTACATGCTGTAGGTATGCTCCTTCCTTCATGGGAAGCACACGGGTTGGCTGAAATTGCTTTGGGCTGTGTATCTGACCCCCTCCTGTTTAATACCTGGTGTATGCTTCAGATCTGAGAGCATGGCTTAGCCTAGCCAAACGCTGTCCCGTGTTTCTGCAGCCAGTAAGATGACTTTTGGGGGGAAAGCCCCTCATGTGCCAGATTCTCAACTTCCCCCTGCCCTGCTCTCTTCTGAGCCTCCTGTCAGCATTGTGCTGCAGGGAACGATTTTCTGTCCTTTCCTGGTCAGAACCCTTTTAATTGATCGTGGAGGTAACAGCTTTTTCTGTATGGGTAGCAGACTGCAGGAGATGGGGGAGAGAGAGAGATGCCCAGCTTTTAGGAATCTTTTGTCAGGTGTGATGAGGAGGCCACAAAGACCCGTGGATCTGCAGGGGGCCCTACGCATCCCAGGGCTTTTAGCAAGTCAGGTGATGTCTACCAACATCTGCTGCAACCCTACGCACAGCCTCCAGGCAAAAACTCCTGGCAAGGCTGGGTTAGAAGGTCACGTATAAGCAGCATTCATGGCCTGGGAAATGCACTCCTGAAATGCTTTGTAAAAGGGGAGTCACCCTGTAAAGGTCACATTGTCAGAATCAATACTGTTATATAGTGGCTTCAAAAGCTGATTAAGTGCTGTGGCTGCCTTACCTGTCCTGGGGGCTGCACTTCACTGGACAGCAGAGTCTTAGAAAATTTCAGTCCTAACAGCTGCTTCCTCCAAACCTTTTGATCCATTAAAATTAAAGGTCTCAGACCCCCTATTAATTGTACATTTGGATGTAGGCACAAGGCCAGGCAAGTTTGGCACGGCTTAGAAGAAAAGGAAGAGTTGTTCTTGAGGCCTTTGCTAGCAATGCTGGTAAATGCTTTATTGAGATGCTGTGCCAGAAATATATATGGTGAAGGGTCAAAGCAGGTTCCCCTTTGAAGCAGTAGCAGTTTGCTGCGGGGTTAAATGGGATTGGGACTTCACCTCGCAGTTCCTGACAGCTATGCATCCACCTAAATTTCACATTTACATAAAAACAAAACTGAAAATAGTGAGTAAAAGGGAATACAAATTTTATTGAGTAGTGTTAATTCCCTCTCATCTCACTTTATTTTTTTCTTTCCACCCTGAACTTCCTAAATCAAAACGCTAGGAACAATTTTAGTCTCTACCAATAGTAACAGGCTGAGGGCTGAGCCCTAAGGATTCAATGATACTATTTCCACCTTTGTTAGATGACTGTGGACAAGTCTGTCCTGTCTTTCATGCCCTGATTTTCCCAATTGCAAAATAAAAATAATATTGTGATTTGAAAGGCGCTTTTGAAAAGCACCGCGTGAGCTTATCATAGCTTGATAGCAACATTTAGGTTAAATGTTAACAATGTCCTTAGCATTCTTTGCAGGGACAGTGGACTTGCTGTCCTAGCAGACTTGAAAGGAGCTGAAAATGTGCATTTTACAGGCAATGTCAGAGCCTGAGCAGCCTGTCTGCATAATCTCTCTCTGTTTTAATAGCCCAGTGCCCCAAAACCAACATCGGGTGGGCCGGTAACCATGATACGGCTGTGCAAACTGTAAGCACGCGTTCATGAGCGCAGAGAAGCGATCCTGCAACCCAGGCTCACAGTTACGGGTTGCTTAAGTTGGAGGTTCAGAAGTGTCCAGGAGAGTTTGATGTTCAGCTCCCCTTAAACATCAGTGCAAATTGAACCCTGCTCTGCACTGGCACGTTCAGAGCTGCCCATCAGGGCTTAGAAAGGGCTCTCCAGGCTGAGGATACAGAAAAATGCAGATTTCACAGGCACTGTGGGGCAGCCAAGCCAAGCGTAGTGTTCTGGGCTTGAGTCCTTGGCGCTGTGGGTAGTCCCCTCCCTCCAGCGGCCGCTGGAGCTGCTGCAGTCTGAGCCCTGCCAGGGAGTCACACCAGCTCCTCCAGAAACTGCTGCCTCTCAGCGAAGGGGGAGAGGACTCTGCATGTGCTCCCAGTCTGCTGCAAGCGCAGCCATAATCCAGTCAGTTGAAATGTGGTCTTGTCTCGTGTGCTGGCAGCTTTTTCCTTGGGGCGGGGTGTTAATCTGGCCCTTCAGTGTGCGAGTCGGGGAGAGATTTGCAAATGCCGGTGGGATCCCAGCCCATACTCAGTTCACACTGCAGCATTTAAACACCTTTGCAGACTTAGAGTAGGACTGGAAGCAGACATCGTGTGGGGATCTCCTCACCAAAGAAGAGGTAAAAAGAGGGCTCTGTACACCTTCGACCGTCTCTGGATAGTGCGGGAAACAGGATAGTTACTCTAACTCTGCGTCTTTTCTTTCTTGAAAGAAGATAAACCGGACTCGGCGGCAGCAGCAGCACTGAATTTGTCACCTAACGGCATTGGGAGTATTAACATGTCGGTGGAGATTAACGGCACAATTTATGCTGGTGAGAAAGAACCGCTCCCAGGGACGGGTAGAGAGCCAGGCTGGTGGTGCAGAGTAGGATGTGGAGAGGGTGGTGTGCTCCCAGGGGCTGGTCTTTGCCGAAGCACAACGCGCACAACCTGTCTGGCTTAGAAAGTTCAGTAGGAGATGATTTCTTTTCTCTTTTTCTTTTTGGTCCTAGGCAGTCAAGATTAATGCCCTTTCCTTTTGTGGTGGTGGTTGTTGTTAGTATTTTTTAAATCTAAGGGAAGGGGCTTCTATGGAGGTGTTAGCAGGAAGGAGTATTATCCCTCTTCTGCTGAGGAGTGGCTTTACTCAGCTTTTCCTCATGTATCTCTGGAAAGCAGGAATTGTTGTCCCCGTACTCTGCTCAAGCTGTTTCACTTCTGCAGGTCACACACACGTGCATCCTTGGACAAAGCCCAGGTGGGGGTCCTGGCACTGCAGTGCAATCAAAGGTGCTTCTCTCCTCTAAAGGTGTTGAAGCCATTTGGGATCTTTGTCTTCTGTAAGCACAACATCCCTGTGACAGAGGCTGCCAGAACAAGTCCTGGGGGATCCCTTCTTATGTCTTGGTCACCATTGACCCTCTGATCCTCCTCCAAGCCTGCTTGTCTTGCACTTAGCCCCCTTCTGTTGGGATGAGATCTTTGGGGTTGGATAGCCTGCCCTTTGCTCTGTACCCTATCCTTCTCAGCCGTGCCACCCCATGGTCCCAGTAACCCTTCTCTTTACCTCTCTTTGCCTTGCAGGAGTGCTCTTTGCCCAGAAGCCAGTTGTCCATCTCATTGCAGGCTCCAGCACCCAAAGTTCCTGCAGCAGCAGCAGCAGCTCCCACTGCTCTCCCAGCCCTACCTCATCCCGGGGAACCCCCAGCGCAGAGCCCTCCACCAGCTGGTCTCTCTGATGGACGGCTGAGCCTGCTGTCTCTCACACTGGCCTCCGGCAGCTCTTCCTCTCTGCTCTTGGCAGGGAGCGAGCCGGGAAGGAGTCGCACAGATTACCTCATCTCAAGGAACCTGCTTTTGTGGTTGGCCAATGGCAAGATGATGATGATGCTGAAACCTTTCCATGCCAGCAAGTTTTTCTTCATCATCTGTTTGTCCAGCCTTTTTCTTTGTTCTCCCCTTTCTTCCTCCCTTTTGCTTTTTTTTCTTCCTCCTCCTCCCAGGGTTTGCTGTGTTCCTGTTGGGGGGTGGGACATGGAGGGGGGGAGGCACGCCTGGCGTTTTTCAATCAGGGATCGTCTCTAGGAGTTGCGGGTCGAGAGATGGCTGAGACGTCACCAAGGCAGGTGGAAAGAGCTGGAGTTGGGGCAGGGAAACTTGGTTCTCCTCGAACCAGTAGCCACAAGGACTCTTCCCACAAAACAACTCTGTGTATTGACAATCCTAAGAGCCGGTGGGGTGCCTTGCCCCTGTCCTCCCATGGCTTGTGCTGCAGAAGGCCATGCAGCTGCAGAGTGGGCAAGCTTCCTCGCTTTTCTTGTTCAGGCTCTGTCGTGGTCCGGTGTTCGTATGTCCTCCCGTAGAACATGTGCTCTTGGCTTGTGAGCCTCCTTCCCCCTCTCCGAGGTCTTGGCAAGAGGGGAAGGACTTTCTTCCTGCTCCGTTTCACCCATAGACACATTAAAAACCTCTCGATCAGCTGCTTCGTTCTCCTGGCTGGTGCTGGCCTATTCTCTACTGTTGCCTTCTTCAGGCTTTCAGCAAAGTTTTAAATTCCCTCAGCCTTGTCTCTCTCCCCTTGAGGAACTCATCCCACTGACATTTACCCTGACAGCCTGAACTTATTTTTGCTTGGTGTTTTAATCCTCTGCCCCCTTGACACAAAAGGGCTGTCATGTAGGTTGATCTAGGCTTCCTGGAGCGACTTCCTTCTCAAAGGTGTCTTTCAGTAGTCCCTGGAAGCTCTCTGCATCCGTGTGCTGAGAAAATGGAAGGTGATATTTGAAATCTGAGTGGGGCTGTGGGGCGTGCGTAGGTATTGCGGTTAACATGACATGTGTCTTCACTGGTCTCTGAACAAGCCTACAGATGCCCAGTCCCCTTCAAATTGTGTGTGAGGAAAAGAAAGCGGCTCTCAATTGAGTAAGACCTTTTGCTCTCCTGGGTGGAAGCAGAGAAAAGGAAATCAAGCCCTTCCTTGCCCTTTCCCCTCAAACCTCCAGTTGAAAGCAAACAAAGGCTGGCCATGGCTCTCTGGTGTCTGGAGCCGACCAGGCTGACTTAGTGACTCTGTGAACTCAGCTCCTGCTCAGGTGGCCTCATTCTGTCCTCTCTCCTCCTGCTGGCCTTTCCCAGCCTGGAGATCAGGTCCAAGCACCATCCATCCTGCCCTGGTGACGTCCTTCCCATCCTCCGGGCCCAAGTCAGGTTTTTTTGAGCAGATGAAATACCTCAGATATGTACTTGTTGTTGGGTTTTTTGTTTGTTTTGGGTTGTTTTTTTTTAACCTCTTCAGGAAGTATTGGCATATCTTATTGCTTGTTTTTTATATGTGGTTTTGCTGACATTGTGGGTTGGGGTTTTTTTATTTTTAATTGTATCACCAAAGACAAAGGAAAAAAAAAAAAAAAGCTGAGCAAAGGAGCAGTGGCCTCCCCATCCTTTAGGCCCGCAGGAGACAAGCTGAACAGCATTGTCCCAGGACATGTGCATGACTCAGGAGGACAGGTAGAGGTAGGAAAAGAGGGCAAGAGTGACTGCTGACTTAGGTCTGTCCTGCCTGTTGGACACAAGGGTGTCTCCAAAGTCCCTGTTATTTCTCCAAGCTCCAGGATCTGTGCTTACCTTTAGCAAAGCTGCTGAGCGCAGCTGGGAGATGACAGCACTGCTTACACTACAGATGGCCAGGCCTCTCACAGGAAAGTGGTTTCTGGCACCTTGAAAGCACAGCTTGGTCTGTGGTGCTGCACCCAGCCACCACCTCAGCTGCGCTGGGACTTGGCGTTATCCCAGACACAGCTAATTCTGTCTGCACTACAAGACTAAGCTGTGTTGGGTAACCTGTCTGAGAGGTGCCAAAATAAAAAGTTACTCCAGTTTTTCACCTGTACATAGGTGCCTGTGTGACCAGCACCCGAGCTAGTAGATACATCATGATCTAAGTGAAAGCCACATAAAAACTCCAGAGGTTCAGCCTGCTAAAAATCAGTTTCCTGGAGGGTGGTGGGTGAGTTGCCACGTGTCATACCAGCATGAGAGGAGAAGGTCGCCTTTTATCTGCTCCCGCAGGCGAGCAGAGCTGCTGGGAGCATTCAGCTCTGGGCAGGATGGGAGGCTTGAGGCGCCGCTGCTGTTAGAGGCTGTGCCTGCCTGCACCACTGAGCCCGAGCTCAGCCCAGAAGTCTCTGTCCCTTCCCTGCCCAGTCGTTCCTGCAATGTGCTGCGAGCAACTTAAGCCTGTCTTAGTACTCTGTGAGACTTTACAGGTCCAGGGGAGATGCCCTCCTCTAAGACCTGTGGTTAGCCGTGGTGTGGTCCCTGTGCTCCCAGGGTGTCCTGCTCCCAGAAGCTGTTACCTTCTACTACTGAAAAGAGCATGGCTTTTAAAAACACCGGGCCAGATACCGCCACAGGAAAAGCCCCATCAGCAGCCCAGGGATCAGGCTTAAAAATGTACATAGAAAATGAAATGAATAATCCTTCCTTTAAACTCTCCAGTGTCAGGTTCTCCTTTTTAATCCTGCAGCACTACTTGGCTGGGCTGCTGCTCTGGCCTTGAGAGCTCCGAGGTCTTGTGCTAAGGCTCGTGTAAGCCACAGGCGGCACCTCCTAGCTGCGAGAGGCTCGATGCTCGCTCTCTGTTAGTTTATACACTATGGCTTGAGTTATCCCGCTACCCGACATCGTGAGGACTTGGTGGGAGGAAGAGGGAAAGTGGCTGAGAGTGCACATGTCCCGAGACAGATGCTGTGCCGAGGTGCTCCCTCTCCAGCTGCTTTTAGCTGGAATAATGAGCGCCGCCGGGCACGGGGAAGCCGAGCTGCTCTGTGGCTGCAGGGTGTTTGCTTGGCAGATCCTGCAGGCCTCCACGGCATTTCATCCTCGCAGGCTCGGAGAGGATTTTCCAGACTCTGGGGCTCATTCAGATTGGTTTTTTTTCCCTTTTTTTGTTTTCTTTTGTTTGTTTTTATTTGGGGGTGGGTTTGGGGGCTGTTTCCTATGAGTGGGACTGGGGGACTTTTTGCTTTTCCTTATGCTTTCTTCTCTGGTCCTGGGGAGCAGAGGTTAGTAATGGGTGGTTTTGCTTATGTATCACATGCTAACATTGTGTTTTCTTGCACAGAAAGGCACTCGAATCACTGAACTGCTAAACAGCTTTGACACTACTAGAGTATTAATGTTTATAAGCTTTACACAACTAGACTGGAAATAGACAGGGACTAACAGATTGTTTTGTATCCAATTCAGGGAAAGAAACAAGCTGGGATGTGTAACAGATACCTCAGTAAAAATAAGCTGCAACAATAAACTGGTCCTTTCTCAGTACACGACGACAAGGACCAGTCAATTCAGACTGTGAAGAGTAACCCTTTCCCTAAGCCTGGCTTTGATACTGGCAGTTGGCTTAATGCAGGTTTCGCTGAGCTCCAGATCTCCTACTGAGCTGCCAGGCTTTGGGGACAGGGTTATGGAAACCAGCAGCAGAGACGGGGCGGAGGAGCTGGGAGCCGGGGAAGGCTGAGCAAGGGTGGTGGATCCCCCCCCTCCCCGGCTCCCCTTCATTTCACTCGACCATGTTCGATTGTATAGTACTCAGGGGTTTTGATACTGCGGGTAGGACTGTTCCTCGTGTGAAGTGCTCTGCTTTGCAGTGTGGCTAATTCTCTTTCAACTCCAGACCAGCGAAGGTTTTGCAGTGAGCAGCCGAGAGAAAAAAAAAAAAAAAAAAAAAAAAAAGCCCCCAGCTTGCTTCCACGCAGCCTTGATGCTCCTGTTTCAGGGGGAGATTTGCCAGCTGGGTTTGATGCCCAGCTCAGGGGAATGAAAAAAAAAAAAAAAAAAAAACCAAACCTGCTTGTCCTCTTCCAGCAGATCCCAGTTTATGCTGGGAAGGCACAGAGCTTGTGAGCTGGGAAGGGGGAAGAGGCGAGGGGGAGGCTGCACGCCTGCTCGGCTCCCAAAGTGAATGTGAACGCGTCACACCAAGTCCTTTTGGCCGCTGCACGTGTGTGTGTGTGCTCCAAACGGATTCAGATCAGATGTTTTCACCAAACAGCAGCCTTGCTACTAGTTTTCTTACCTATTTAAAAAAAATAAATAAATAAAAAAAGAAATGTGATAGCCTAGGCGGTGGATAAATACCTCAACGTCTCCTTCCAACAAGTGTCTGTATATGTTGTTGTTGGGTTTTTTCTATCTTACATGTTATCTGAATGTTTATATTCCAATAAACTTCTACCTCTTCACACGGTGACCATGCAAGCCTGATTTGTCGCCGTGCTGTTTTGCTAAAGCGTGAGTTAAAAGATTTCCCAGCCCCTTCTTCATCCTGGGAAGCTATTCCCGGAGGCGGGGTGAGCCTAGGAGAGGTCCATGTTCTTCTGGGTCTTCATGCTCCCAGTTTGTACCTTTGTGGGGAGAACTGGGCTGGAAAGCTGAACTGGTGTGATGCGGTTTTGGAGCAGCGGCTAGAAATGAGCTGGGTACCTGTGGGGTGAAATGTTCGGCTTCCAGGTCGGATGCTGGCTGGGAAACCTCCTCCGCACAGCTCTGTGGGAGAACAGACCTTGGAGAGATGAGTTACACTGGATCTCCCTTCCACGGGGGCCAGGCTGGGGCAGGAGCCGCTCTCCCGAATCCCTCCTGTGTCACCGCCTCCTTCCCACAAAAAAGGAGATTTAATGCTTCCCAAAGGTTTTGCTATTTACACAGCACCTGATGTTGTTTTTCCAGTCATTGA